TTTTGACATGTAGCAGTTGGGTGCTTTGAATGGGTGAGGAAGGCAAGGAAAGCCTTTGAGGGGCAGGGAAGGGAAGTGATAATGAGGGAGGAGGAAGCAGTGGAGGGGAAGGAGAAGGAGGTGGAAGTGGAAGAGGAGGTTTCGGTGGGTCTTGAATGCTTTTTGTTTCATCCTCAGACATTTTGATGCTAAAAGGGGGAGGAGTTACCATATGGCTTGGTAGAGGGGATAACTGTTCAGGTATATCATGGTGAGTGATGGCAATGGATGGTGCTGTTGATGTTCTAAGTTCAGTCACCTCAGAACATGCTTGGAATGAAGAAAAAGAAAGTGCAGGAGATCCTGAAGATGGAAGAAAACATTCAGAAGTTGGTTCTACTGTTCTCTCTTCATCCTGGACACAAGTGCTACTTGCCAGGGAAAGCCCACTTTTCTTATCTTGGCATTTCATTTGTTGCATTTCTTGCAGAGCCTGCTGCTCAAACTGCCTTGCTTTCTCTCTAACTGACGTCCTTGTGCCAGTGATGGTCTTCAAGATTAGACTGCTTCTATTGGATCTTCTTTGATGGATTCCAATCTTTTCATTCTTTACTCTGTTTTTCTCCTGGTCCCATTGAATTGGGTCCATAATGAGCAAAATATTTTTCCTGGTACTCTGACTTGGTAAAGTCCATGCCTGCTCAATGTCTTTCAAAGTGCCACTCAATAGAACATTTTTCAAAGCTGACTTTCTATGAAAAAAATGGGGTACAACGTATTTGCTTTCCTGTAACAACTCAGAAGTAGAACTATGCAATGCACCCTCAGCATACAGAGGGTTTTGAATAGTTAAGGGAGTCTCATCAGATAAAAATGTAATATTGCTTGCAGATTTGGGAAAATTATTTTTCAATGTTCCTCTGATATTAGACCGCTTGTGAGCCTCAATTGCACGAGAAGCAAAGCTGCTAATAGCTCTCTGACGGTCTCCTCCATCTAACAATATATTTTTTCTCCTGCTTTGTTGAAAACGGTAGAGAAGTAAAAGACTTGAAAGGAAAGAAAATAATCACAAATGAGAAAGCATGCATGAGAAAAACAACATGAATGCAGTGAATATGAAACAGAAAATGAATAAAAAGTCTATGTTCTTCTAGGTTATCTAAGAATCTAGATCTAGTGTAATTCTACATGTAATTAACCTATTAAATCATAGAAAGTTATTTTACTACGTCACTGGGGGGAAAGGGTATAATAAGCAAATTATAATATTATAGGATGTAAGTCTGCAATCCACATGTGAAATAGGATCAGATTTTTCTGTCTAACAATTACTTATAGTGAATATTGCTGGAGGGACAAAACATTACAGAAAGTACATTTTTGGTCATATCCCAATTGCACTTGTGTTTTTCATAGAGACCTCCGGTCACCTGATCCATCCCCATGGAAAGAGCCAAGATCTGCTAAAGCATTTCAGACAGATAGCTAACCATCTCTTTGATGACCTCCAATGAAGAGAAATATGACAATTATTAGACATGTGAAGACTGGAAAAAAAACTCCCCTCAAACTTCTGTTTGGAGGTTAAATATATCTAATTGTTCTAACTGTTCCTTATAAGATTTCATTTTTTTGTCCCCTCCTCATCTTTGTAGTTCTCCTCTGATTTCACTCCAGTTGGTCCATTTAAAAGGGGATTGTGCCATACCCCAAACTACAGCCAGTATTCCAAATGAGACCCAATTAAGAGTGAGGCTTCTAATGATATGGATCTCGTGTTAATATTGTTAATATTGTCTAAACAGGCGTTTGCCCCTTTAGCAGTTGCATGAACCTGTCAACTCTTGTGATCAATTAGAATCCTTTTCAAATCCACTATTGCCTGCCAGCTTAGATCTCCCCAATCCTATACATGTGCTTTTCATTTTTTATCACCAGTTGTGACTCTATAAATTTTATTCTGTTTGTTTAATTTCATTGCTCGAGCCCATCTAGGCCTTTTCAAAAATATTCTTGTTCTTATTTTCTAACTGTTCTTTCTTTCTTTCTTTCTGGAAATCATAGTTAGTCCATTAAGCGGCTTTTCCTAGAAAATACTTTAGGAACAGTGGTTGGTCAACCATGTCTGTCTCCTCTACTTGTTCAGTCTCAATTTAGAATAGCTTAATTGCAGGTATGAGGAACAAAATAAAGCTATAATTGCAAAGCTTAAGTTGTTTAACTGAGCTTATTCTTACAGATGTTAATGAAACCTTTGATAAGTGAAAGGCTTTAGGATTGTAACTTGTTTTTGATTGTAGAGATATGTCATTAACACCAATAACCTGAAGGGCCTCGAATCTATTTGCTGTAAGTTATTGATGTTTGGTCACACTGCTTTTAATCTTTTATATCTAGTTCCCTTTGGAGAGTAGTGAATAAAATTTAGGTACTACATAGTAGAAAAATAGAATAACTATTTATTTTAAAACACACACAGCTATTTCCATTTGCTATTGTATTAGCCACTACTATGACAGTTTACTTACTGATGTCTTTCACGTCCAAAGGCAAATAAGAAGAAAATAAAAATAAATTTAATTTCAAAATGCTATCTGTAGAAGCTTTGTGTAATTCACAACATAGATTTCAACTGAAAAGAGAATGAGAGCCCCAAGGAAATTAGAAAAGTAAAATAAAAGATATATTGTCTTCAGAGCACTTATTGCTTACATTTTCAGGCATTATTAAGTATTGGCATTAAACAGTTAAAATGCATGGTGAAATACATAATAAAATGTTATTTTGCCAAAAGATTGTTTTGCTATGGTACAGTTAAGTAAACATGTTTTAATCAAAAGGGTTTATGTATACCTTCTATATCCATCCCTTCAATGGATTTTTTAAAAAGTCCAATTACTAAAGGCAGTTCTATCCATTTCCTGAGGCAGCCTGACCCAATGGAGCTTGATTAGCACTCAGCTGGAATCTCTGCTGTGAGTATAAAGTTTTTGTACACGTTGAAAATATTATTCAAGTTTCCACCTGTGGAATAATCGGCCTTTTTGGCTCATGTTGCATGCAAAAGTTTGAATATGTACTCCTTCCTATTTATATGTGGCATTTGAACATTCTTGACACAATATCCAACTACCAGAAAAACCTTGCATTCAAGACATCTTGTCAGAATTTGAATAACACTAGCTTTGGATAGAGTTGTGTACAAGTCTCAAATGGCTATAGGATGGTGATGATTAGTCAAATAAATGTCTATAAAGATTCTCAATCATCCAGGTCATGGTGATCCCAAAGGTGCTTTCAAAAGGCAACTGGACTTTCTTGATTTTTTTCCCTTGATCGTGGATGAGAATTAAATGTTTTCAAAAAAAAAATCAAGAAAGTCCAGTTGTCTTTTGAAAGCATCTTTGGGACATTAGTCAAATAAACTAACAGTAAACAGCTCAACCAAAGAACCATTAAGACCATTCCCACCGACACTGAGAGGGCAAGCCACTAGAACAGGGGCCTTCAAACTTGGCCCTTTTATGACTTGTGGACTTCAACTCCCAGAATTCCTCAGCCAGGCATGCTTGAATGTGGGATAAAAAAAAGCTACATGCTCTTACATGGAACAATACTTTTTTCATAAGTCCTGCCAATGTTTCCAATTCATATTTATATATTCTCATGCATATCCAAGGGAGCCTTTAGTCATTTCTTGTTTAATTGTGTTGAGCAAAACCCCAAACGTCTAAAAAAAGATACCATAAAAATTGTGTAATTGTTACACAAGTGTAACCACAAGCCAGTATACAAAGAGGAATGGCATTGTGATTTTCCATGGACTGGATTAACTGGATGATGGTTAAGTCATTGGGAAAGGCAAGTGAAATTATAATCTCCTTCACCTGACCTATGCCATCTGCATCTCCAGTGGACTAGTTCTTTAGCTAGGCCAATAGACCAGGTTGATCTACCTGCTATTATGACTATTGTCAGATGAAGCCATTGGTTTTTTTAGACCAGACATGTCAAACTCGCAATGTCACATGACGTCGCGCAATGTATCAGAACTGTTTTGCCATTGCTGGCAATGGGGTGGGCATGGCTTCTGTGTGACGCGTCCAGCCTGCAGGCCAGCAGTTTGACACTCCTGGTTTAGACTGATCAAACTTTACAAATCCTTAGAGATACAATCAGATCTATATTCCAAACGGCTTTGCAGGAAGAGCAATAAATGCAGAATATTGGCTTTCTATATACTCTGGATTTAATATTTAATTCTGACTACATTCCTGCCAATGGTCATTTGAATCCTCTTCTTCCTTCCCCCAAATTTGCTGACATCCTACCTGTATCCCCTTTCTGATCTACTGAACTCTCTTTGGTCTAGATATACATCATCTAGAGTCCAATCTTAATAAGGCCTACTGTATGATATTTTCATAGACTGATGAAACCTGGTCTTCTCTGGAGTGCCTAGGAAGAAATGCTAAGACCAGTATAACCTATTCATTTTTCTCTCCTACCCCTGTTTTAGTTTTGGGGGTGCAATGTAGAAATGTACTGATTTCGTCAATCTTTTGACATTTTGCATACACAGACACATATGCTTTGATCAGATCTTCCCTATGCTCTAAACAGAATTCATGTGTACAGGAAGGTGCATGCTGGACCTGACAAACTATCTAATTCATATCAATAATAAATATCCATACATTAAAATATGTAAAAATATATAAAAGTTTCTGAAATATATTTAGTACATAGATGATTTCCATTTGGTATACCAAATTGACAGTAATGCTTGTCGCAATTCTCTTGTGTGTTCCAAAATTTACCTACATGCTTCTGCTTACACAATTATCATTTCTTTATCCTCCTTCAATAAATGTACAATTCCCCCATGATGTTCACCACCATGTGGTTGATATTTAGAAGATTATATATTAATTTGCTTAGCCATGATGACTGTAATTTCTAAAGTATCAAAATTACACCCTGCGTTATTAGCATTTTAAATTTCATTGAAAACTTACATGGTGCTGTCACCCAGTTCCTCGTAGAGATTATTGGCAGGAATGCTTGCTGATTTGCCAGTTGGTAAGGCCATCTGGATGCGAGCTGTCTTTGCACATTCAGCTTGTCTCCTTTGGTGAAATCATATGGGGAAGAAGTGAAGAGATTTGAAGAGAATCAAAGACGCTCACATTGGTAGAAATAGCCAAGTGGAGAATTCATTAGAGCTTTTCACCTGGTAATTGATGCTAATGCTAAGTATTTGAACATAGCGCAAACAGAATCAAATCTGGCTTCTTGATATACTGTTCTCTTACAATGGATTATTGCAAAAGTGTTTTTGTGCATGATTTGACTACAATGTTCTGGAAAAGCTCCAGTTTTCTAAAATTAATAACTGGGATATTTAAAACTGATTTTACCCTCCATTTTCTTAATGCCAAAGAAAGAAAAAAATGTGCTGGGATTATAGAGTAGATAAAACTAGATTATCTCACAGTTACTACTGAATTAACAGATTTACTAGTATTAGGTTAATATTCTGGGATTTTAAACCAATATACAATTAGCCTGTGTTTTCCACTTGTCTCCTTAGTCAAGTTTATGATTCTATCTTTCACATAAAAATGACTTTTTTATCTAGCATAAACACTCATGTTTCAAGCATATTTTCAATGTAAAGTTTATTTAACTGAAATTTACTTATACATTTTACAATGTGAACATAATCTGATCAATCTTAATACTATAATTTAGGAAGCTTTTTTTCTTAGAATTAAATTGCATTAGATATTAAAACCTGTAAAGGGACAATCATCTTTGTGAGGTAGCAAAGAAAATTCTAAGATTTTAGCACACTTCTAATCTCCTAACCTTGTTTTGGGAAAGCATGATTCTTTTCAATCATTATGTACTGTCCTACTGATTCACATATATCCTTCTTTTTTAAATCACTGTACACAAACAAAGGCTAAACTTTTGCATATTCATACACAAGGCAGATAAAGTTTAAAAATAATATACTTACTCTTTAAATCTGTTTTGTAATGCAGAATGGTAAAACAGAAATAAGAGAATAAACAGTGAGATTCACATAGAAAAATAATTCAGAAAATTCTTATAAACTTTATATGCTACAGAACTCATTTTCAGGGTCACATCCTCAACCTTTAATTGGTTTGACTAACCAATTAGTCAATATCCCATCAGAGATATTTTAATAAATTCATAAGATATCTTTAATTAAGTGACCTCTAATAAAAATAGCTATTTAGTTGCAATTAATTTTGTGATAACTGCTATCCAACCACCATCTTACAAAAAGCCCCCCTTCCTTTGAAAGAGTCACAGAATAATATACCTTCTAGGGGCAAGCTAAAAAGAAGGGAGATTATTTCATTAAAACATGGATTTATGCAGGTTTAGTAGATTAAAACTAACAGCAGCTAAGTGTTAACAAAGGAGTAACCTGATAGGTTATTGTGAACTAAAAAAATCTTACATTATTGGGAAAAAGAAAACCTCTTCCATCTGATGGAACGAGCCAGATTGGTTGTATTAACATTATTGCTAGAGTGGTTAAAGACACTGAGCTTATAGCCTGGGTTTGAGACCTAAGTGTCTCAGAATTGTTTAAGTGCCCGTCTTCTCCTAGCTCCTGCCCATATGTTTGAAAACATGCAAATGTGAGTAGATAAATAGGTACCACTTTGGTGGGGAGGAAAAGGCACTCTTCAGATGTTGCTTTCTCATGGCCTTTGGAATGGAAATAAGTGACACCTCCTATAGTCAGCAATCACTAGTGGAGTAAAATCTGCAGGAATTCCTTTCCTTTTCTTTCTTTCCCAGGTGCTGATTTTGATTTTTAAAACCCTCCATGGCATAGGGCTCGGTTATTTGAAGGACCTTCTTTCCCTGATTACATCTGCTCATCCAATCAAATCTAACAAGAGAGACATGCTACAGCCCCATCTTTCCAGGAACTATGCTTGGTGGGTCCAAGGAGGTGGATCTTATTTTTGGGAAGTCCCTCATGAGGTCTGGGGTCTCAGGGGAGGTGATTGATTGTATTGCTGATCAGATCTTGTGTATATTTATTGTGTGTCTATTTATAATGACTGTGTTTGCTTTTATACTTTTTTTTTTTTGCTATGTGCAAGCCAGGAAAATTTCTTGTGAATTTTTTTTATAAATAAATAAACCTTAGTCCCAAATAGTCTGGCCTCAGGGACTAAATAAAATAGTCATGTGCTTCTTTCTACAAGTCTACCTGCCTGTGTAGTATTTTGCCCTGCTTGATAATAACTATTCATCACAATTCTTTATCTGAAAATCTTCCACTGGAAGTAATTCCCTGTGGACAAAGCCTGAAGTTGCCTGTTAATTGCAGAGTGAGCAGAAGCTACCTGATCATATATTCCTGACAGTGATGACATCTACCAAAATTGTATTAAAATGTTCACACCTACATATACATTTAGGCTTTTTTCAAATTGTAATATCGTGCAGCAGAACTGAAAATTAAACATCAAATAGTGGAAGGACTCCCACAGTAACAACCTACTTCTATATCAACATCTATTACAAGTACTTGTATTATTCTACTTATTTAATTTTTAAATTCTTTTCAGTTATACTTTGTGTTTCTAGCCTCTGGCTATAATAGTCATTCATTCATTCACTTACATTTACATTTCCATGTATACAAACTTTAGCACATACAAACTGTATACAAATCTGTATTTGCATTTTTCTTCCAGATTTTAAATCAGACAATTTTAGACAATTTTAAAATAATGGGATATCTCTGAGTTTTGTTTCTATGTGTCTATTATGAATATTTATTTATTAAATTTAAAAACCATCCATTTCCTCCATAGAGGGATTCTGGGCAGTATACAAGTAAAATATTGAAAAACATTAAGTGTTAAATATACCACTTGTCCATTATTAATTTATTTATCTTTTATTCATAATTATTTTCTTTATGTATAAAATATTGAAACTTCAATATAGGAAATAACAATATATTTCCTTTTCATTATTTTTCTACAATACTACAACAATACTAATTCCCATGGGCAAATAAGGAATTGAAAATTCATTTAACTTTACAGCTTTTTTTTAAATAATCTTGAAAAATTCATTGAATGTTAAATGAATTGGTAGGCTACAATGTACTGTATTGAAAAAATGTTTTATTACAAACTGAATGCTTCTATTTTACGGGCACCACCAATGATGGTTATGTTCATCCAAGTATAATTTTTCCACTATGTAGCAGATTTCATCTGTTATTTTGCTAGGATTTTTAGTTGCCAATTAAGGCATAAGAAAAGCTATAGAAGAAAAATGGACATATTTCCTAAATTACTTAAGTAAGGCCATAGAAGAATAGTAGAATTTTCAGGATTTTGACATTCCTTTAAAAAAAAATCTGCCTTCACTATGGTTTTTCATCAGGTGGTCACTATGAATTACTTTAGATATTTCAATTAAGAAAAAGTCTTGTAGAAGTACTACTAGTTATAATGTCAATCTTCAAAAATAGCATATAATGAGCTGAGTCAGAACAGGGTTTGTCAAAGCCTTTGCCCCATATAAGAAAATCAGCATGGGATGAAAACAGTTCTCTGCAGCCCAACTGATTACATGTTGGTTTGCAACTATAGCTAGCGAGTAAGCTATATGTAGTCAAAGCTAGCTTTATGTTCTAGTGGGCCTCTTTATTGTCAGGCTTTCTAAGACATATCTGCTAAGCAACAGCTCCATAGACACATGGATGAATTTGGCTAGGAACTGAATCTTTACTGTTACATCAGAACGTCAGTCATAAGAGATAACCAACAGTCTCTACATGTAATCCTTGACTTATGATCATTCATTCAGTGGATATTCAAAATTACAATGCTGCTGAATGAAGGTGTTGTGTTCTTTTGTATTCCCCCCCTTAATCCCCTATGCGCATTCTGATCACCCATTAAGGGTGATTGCCCTTCTCCATTGATCACCCATTAAGGGTGATTGCCCTTCTCCATCTGCATACAGTTTCATGCCCGTTGCTGGTTGGCTAACTAGCAACGGGGTCTTACCAGCCAATGGAATTGTGTGATTACAAGCCAGGGGAATCCCATAAAAGAGGGCTCCCCTGGCCCAGATGCCAGTCC